AACACCAAGATTATCACCAGATATACAATCAAGCAGTAAACAATACCCTAATCAAGGAACTGCCAGGGGAAAAAAAAAACCCACCAACACAGGCAGAGCAAGCTGCTGTATATAAACTGAGAGCAAACTCCACTCCATTCTAGCACTGAAGATGTTACCTAGCCAGGTAACAAAACGTTTGCAAGAAAACAACCAAGCTCAGAGAACCCCAAGGGCTCCACAATTCTGTAATGTGAAAATCTGAAGATGTTACCTAGCCAGGTAACAAAACGTTTGCAAGAAAACAACCAAGCTCAGAGAACCCCAAGGGCTCCACAATTCTGTAATGTGAAAATGAGGAAATTGTTCCAGGTTTATTTCTGGAAAAAATGAATATAGGAATGCGTATTCTCTTTGGAATTGGAATGTACATTATGTCCTTCCAGTTATGTCTCCAGTTTTCATACTCACTATTAGCATTTCAAAGAGATGTAAAAGAAATGGACATATAACCTTTTGTCTGGCATGATGTTACTTCTGCCTGCTGTTTTACATTATTCTATGAAAAAGTGCTATATTGCAATTAAATATCAAATGGGTTAGAACTGAGTAAAAGTACATACTGTTGAAATGAAAATACAGCTATGAAATGTGTAAGGCAGGATACAGTTCTTTTTAACAGTTATAACTACTATTTTAATACATTAATTTCTTTTTACTTATGTTAATAAAAAAATATTAAATCCTTACTATATGGTTCCTTAAGTAGTGCAGGGGGTAATAGTCTGATACAGTAATCAAAAACACACAGTAGTAATTGGAAAGAGATAACCAAATCATCTTCCATCTGCAGTATTTTTCCTGAAACATTAAGTAAACATATTGTGCTGAATATCTTTATAAATTAAGCAAGACTTTTTATTTTGAAATTTTCATTGAAGCCATTATAAAATAATGATTTACTCCATTTCCCCTCTACTCCTCTAGTTCAGAGGAAGCCCTACAATTCCTAAAATGGAAGTAAGCATCATCGTATGCCTTTAGTCAAATTACAGAGAAAGCAAATTGTAACAAAATTAAGATTGCAATGGTATAAATGTTTACTAGAAAGTCATATTGACTAACTACATGCAATGGAGGAATTTTTGGGGCATCTGCAGGACAAAGTCGCTCGGATTCATTCCAAGTTAGACTCCCAGCGTGGGGCAGGGTCTGGGGAGATACCAGGGGACC